TGCTGAGGGTTTTTCATATGTGGCCTTCATTATGTTGAGTTTTGTTCACTCTAAGCTGACTTTGTTGAGCATTTTTATCACAAATGGATTGTATACTTTGTCAAGTGCTTTTCTGTCTGTTGAAATGATCAGATGTTTTTGAATCCTTATTTATATGATGTATCACATTAATTGATTGGTGACTATTGAACCACACTTGTATCCCAGGAATAAATCCCACTTGATTGTGGTGAATGACTTTTTTTAATGTATTGTGGGATTGAGTTTGCTAGTACTTTGTTAAGTATTTTGCATCTATGTTCATCAGGGATATTGTTTGTAATTCTCTTTTGTAATGTCTTTATCTGGTTTTGGTATCAGAGTAATATTGGCTTCATAGAATGAGTTTGGAAGTTTTCCTTCCTTTTCTATTTTTTGGAACATTTTGAGAAGAATAGGTATTAACTCTTCTTTAAATGTTTGGAATTTGTCTGTGAAGCCATCTGGTCCTGGACTTTTGTTTTTTGGGAGGTCTTTGATTTCTGATTCAATTTCCTTGCTAGTTATCCATCTATCTAACCATCTATCTATTGCTTGTACATGATATCTGGGTAATCTCTATTCCAGGTTAGGAATTAAATTCATAAGACCCAGGGTTTTCTTCAAATCCTACTGGCAATTATAGCAGTGGCCAATAAATTTTGGTATGAAAGGCTCAGCTAAAAATTATTTATGATTTTTGAAATTATTTTACCTACCACAAAGTTGAAAATCTTTTTATAAAACTTCGAGTGATCTAAATATGCTGCTGCTTAAGCAATTCAGTTAAGCACATTTGGACAGCCTGGGTGGTTGAGTCAGTTAAGTGTCGATCTAGGTTTAGGCTCAAGTCCTCATGGCCCTAGGTGGAGCGCTGCGCTGACAGCATGGAGCCTGCTTGGGGTCCTTTCTCTCCCTCTCTCCCTCTCTCCCCCTATCCTTGGGTTGCATGTAAACATTAGCTTTTTTTGTATCTCTCAAAATAAATAAATACATTTAAAACAACAACAAAAAACAAAAATAAGCATATATATTATGTAATATATATATAATCTCTACCTTAATTCTAAGAATATACAATCTTTATTTCATTTATAACATCACTTATTTGCAGTAGTATTGAAATGGGAATGCCTATCTTTTTCTTTACATTAGCTCTGTACTTCCTTTTTTAAAACATTTATTTTTCAGAGAGAAAGACAGAGTGCCATTGTTGGAGCGGCAGAGAGATAGGGAGACACAGAATCCAAAGCAGACTTCAGGCTCTGAACTTCCAGCACAGAATCTGACGTGGTGCTCAAACTTACGGACCGTGAGATCATAACCTGAGCCGAAGTCAGATGCTTAACTGACTGAGCCACCCAGGCGCCCCAGATCTGTACTTCCTTAAGGGAAGGGTCATATTTTTAACATTTTGTATCTTGTACAAGGTCTTAAGTGAAACAGGTGTTACAGCACTGGGCCTCTGTCATGTCCTCTAATGATTCATGTCTCCTAGAATCTGTGCCCTTCCCATGTTGAATCAGCGTTGACATTGAGTGACCAACAGAATATGCCGAATGTAGTGATGTGTGACTTTGAAACCTAGGTCGTAAAAAGCACTGGAGCTTCTTCCTTATTTTCGTGGATCATTCACTCCAGAGGATACCGGCTATCATGCCATGATGACAGTCAAACAACTCTTTGCCCATTTGTAGTGGAACGGAGTCTGCTGAATAAAACTCATCACAAAGCTACTAGCCTTGTAATTGAATCACCTTGGAAGTGAGTCTTCGACACAGTCAATACCTGACTGCAACATAACTGAATCCAAGCTGGAATCACCCAACCAAGCAGTTCCAATTTTCTTTACCACAAAAACCACAGACCAATAGTTGCTTGATCACATAGCTCTGAACATCTGTTTAATGGATAGGATTTTTATGGCTAATGCATGATAATCATTGCTTTAAGCCAGTAACTTTTGGGTAATTTGTTACTCAACAATAGAAAATAAATACAAAATTTTATGACCAGAGGCAAGAGCATGACATGAAAGATTTCAAGTTATTGGATGCATGCCAACTGCTGTAATGATCATAATCTATATCTCATTCTTTTGGTTTATATGAAGATTTTAAGAGAAAAATTAGTTTTTAGGTTTTAGAAGAATAGATTATGGTGGTGAGGTAGAGAAAAACAACTCCTATTTGTGATAAATTCTCAAAAGATTAAGCCTTCAGTGGTGAGTCAGAAGGTTTGATTCCCTGGTAATAAGAAAGTATGTGAGCTGCAGAAAAGGCAAATTTTGAAGATTAAGAAAGACCTGTCAGGAAGCCTTTCCAAAATGGCAGACTAAGTGCCTCTAAAAATCTGCTTCTCTGTAAAAGCAATAACAATTGCAAAAAAATCTCTAAATCAGCTTGTGTAGAAATGTGGAAGTAAAGGCATCTAGTAATTTAAGTAGCACTTATTCAAAGAAAGTAGCTGATTATCAGTGAGCAAAGCAAGCTTTGTGACATCTTAAGTTTTCTTCTTCCCATTTCTCTGTCCAGAAAGATTGTAGCTGTGGGAACCGATAACCTCACAACTATGCTATTTGTGAAAAACAACAGTTTGTGAGGCACTGGATAGGCCAAAGCAGTTTGGGTTCTCTCAACATCCCCATCCCCAGAGTATTTTCATGACTTTTCTTGTCCAGTAGCTCCTTCAAAAAACAGTTTTCAGGGCTTTCTTTTATAGAGTCTGATGTAGATTTGTCTGTGCAAACAACATATCCCCAGATAGGCTGATCGTTAAGACAATCAGCTTCGGTGATTTAATCCTAAGGCAGCGATACAAGTGGCTGACCAAAAAACTTAAAAGGAAGAACTGAGAAATAAGATGTCCATAGGAACATTTTAAAGGCTCCAGCATATTTTAAATACTCCAATAAAAGCCCAGAAGTAACACACATGTTCAGGGCTGTGCTCATGTCATAAATGAACTGAGAAGGTCTTAAACTGTGTTTCATCTCTGGGTCACATTGAGAAACAGTTGGTTTTGAAGAGATTATCCTGGATTATGTAGTTTCCAGTTTAAGGTTCTTTGAATATGGAAATTGGAGGAATAAGAGTTCCTGCCAGAGGGATAAAATGTGGCAAAGATTCAAAGAGCTGCTAATGACTTTGAAGAGGTGATAGGGCTGCCAGTAAAAGAATGCAGGCAGTGTCTATCAACTAGAACAACATTAAAAGAAAGAAAACAGATTCAGTCACAGAGCCTCAGGTAGGAATGTTGTCCTGCCAACACTTTGGTTTTTGCCTTGTGAGACTCATTTTGGACATTAGACCTGCAACATTGTAAAATAATAAATTTGTGTAGTTTTAAGCCACTAAATTTGTGCTAATTTGTTTCAGTGTCAATAGGAAAATAATATGGGGTCAGGGAGGACATGCTTTTGAGAATTGGCAGATTATATATTTAAAATGACAGGTTACAAAAAACGAGGAAAGTGTGTCCCATATCCTGGAAGAAAGCCAGTCAATAGCAATGATCTGAGGAAGCACAAATGTCAGACTTAATAGACAAAGACTGTAAATAAGCTATTAAAAGCATTTAGGGAGTTACATTAAAAGTGTTTAATAAAAGTTATGTCTAAAGAATTTATGAAAAGTTTGAGAGAAATATGTCACCAAATTATCAATAAAGAGACATGTATAAAATAGACAAAGAGAAGTTCTTGAGTCGAAAAGTACAAAAAGTAAAATTAAAAATTCACTAGGGAGGAGCAACAACATATTTGGTCTGGCAGAAGAGAGAACAAAAAAATTGAATATAGGTCAATTTAAATAAACCAGTCCAAGCAGCTTAAAAAAGAATGAAGAAAAATGAACAGAGCCTCAATCTGTGAGAACCTCATCACATGTACAAATATATAGATAAATGAATTAAGAAAAAGGGAAACAGGAAATGTGAAAAAATAATGACCTAAATAGTTTTAAATTTGATTTAAAAACCTGAATTCCAAGGAGAATAAACTAAAAGAGATGCACACCTACACATATGTTCAAATTGTCAAAAGACAAAGAATAAATCTTGAAAGCAGCAAAACAAACAAAAAAACTCATCATACACAAGCCTTCTCAAGAAGATTAACATCATTTTTCATCAGAAATCATGAAGCCTAGAAGGTAGTAGGATGATGTACTCCTAGGAAGAAATAGATAATTCAATAATGATAGACTTCAGTCTTAAATACCACCCTATTAATAAGGAATTGAATAACACAGAAATAGAAAACTTAAAAAAAATCTATAAACCAACTAGATTTAACAAGCATCTATACAGCACTCCAACCAACAATAGAATGTCCATTCTTCTACCAAGTACATGTGGTCCGTTCCCCAGGATAACCCATATGTAAATCCATAAAAGCAGTCTTGATAAATGTAAAAGGATCAAAATAGTAAGTTTATTCTCCAACCATAAGGTGATAAAATTTGAAATAAATAACAAGGAAATTGGGGAACCCACAAGTAGGTGAAAATTAAACAACATAGTCATAAATAGTCAAGATGTCAAGTAAGAAAACTGCTAATGTTACACAAAGCGTTGTGAGAAATGAAAATATAAAATACTAAAACTTACGGGATGTTATAAAAGCAGTTGCTTAGAGGGAAATTTATAGCAATACATACCTATATTTAAAAAGAAGAAATACTGGGGCGCCTCGGTGGCTCAGTTGGTTAAGCGTCTGACTGCGGCTCAGGTCATGATCTCATGGTTCCTGAGTTTGAGCCCCGCGACAGGCTCTGTGTTGACAGCTAGCTCAGAGCCTCGAGCTTGTTTCAGATTCTGAGTCTCCCTCTTTCTCTGAATTTCCCCTGCTCATGCTGTCTGTCTGTCTGTCTATCTATCTCTCTCTCAGAAATAAATAAAACATTAAGAAAAAATTTTTAAAAGAAATATTTGAAATTAACAGCCTAATCTTCCACTTAAGAAAAAGCAACAACAAAAAAATAGTGCTTGCTTTGTAGCACATATACTAAATAAGAACAATACAGAGAAGATGAGAATGGCCCCTGTGCATGGATGACATGCGAACATGTGAATTGTTCCATATTTAAAAACAAAACAAGAAAAGTAAGTGCAAGTTAAACTGGAAGAGAGGAAGGGAGAGAGTGAGTAAGGAAGAAAGGGAGGAAGGAATATTATAGTAGAAATAAATGAAGCAGATAATATAAAAACATGGGATAAAACCAAAACTTTGTTTTTAAAAATGCAGCAAGATTGACAAAACTTGACCTTGATTGACCAAGAGAAGGAGAGTAGACTCAAATATCAAATCATTACAATAAGGAGTCAAGGAGGAGCTATCACTAATGATAGCACAGAAATAAAAATAATGAGACTATAAACTGAATAATTGTATGCAAACAAATTAGATAACTTACATAAAGTAAACAAATTCCTAAAAAGAAACTTCTAAATCTGCCTGAAGAAGTAGAAAATGTGACTATACCTCCAACAAGTAAACATAATAAATTTGTAATCAAATAATTTCCCACAAAGAAGAGCCCAGGCCAAGATGGCTTCATTGGTGATCTATCAAACCTTAAAAAATTAACACCAGTAGTTAATTTTAGAGTAGTCTCTCTACCCCTCCCCTTCTCATGCTGTATCTCAAAAATAAACATTAAAAAAATTTAAATGTCTATTGTATTTTATATACTACTAATGAAGACTCTTAAAATTAAGAAGCAATTAAATTTATATTAGCAACAAAAAATAAAATAGGAATAAACTTTAAAAAGTGCAAGACTTACACACTGTAAATTATAGAACATGGCTGAAAAATATTAAATGTCACAGCTAATTTAAAAGATCATATGGTCATGATTGAGTTAATGTTAAGACAGAAATTTGATCCACAGAGTCAATGTAATAATCTCTGTCAAAATTCCAAATGCTTTTTTACATTTTGAAATGCTGATCTTAAAATTCATATAGAAATGCAAAGAACCTAGAATAGTCAAAACAGGATCATGTGTTTCTGCCATGAGGATGGAAATTATTTTATATATATAACAGAATTTTCATCTTTATGCTATATTTTATATATATCCTGTGTGTGTGTGTGCTCACGCGCGCGCAATAGTGATGAGAATCCAGAAATAACTCTTACATTACAGTTAACTCATTGTGACCGGGTGCCAACCAAGTTCAGTGGGCAAACAACTGTGTATTCAACATCTAGATAGCTTCATGCAAAACAATGAAGTTGGACCCCTACCTCACACCATATGAAAAATACTTTATACTGGATTACAGAACTAAATGTAATAGCTAAAACTATAAAACAGTTTGAAGAAAATGGGAGTAAATCTTTGTGACCTACTACCTATCAGGCAGTAGTTGAGTAGATAGGACACAAAAAGCACAAGCATGAAAGAAGAAATGTTGAATTCGATTGTATCAATTGTTACTTATTATTATGAATAAACTTGTATTGCAAGAACACCATCAAGAAGTGAAAATACAAATCCAAAGTGGATGAAAATATTTTCTGATTACATACTTGGTAAATGTCTAGTGTCTAGAATATATTTAACAAAAAAACCCCTTTTGACTCAAAATTAAAAAACAATTAAAAATTGGGCAAAGAATTTGAATAAATATTTCCCCAAAGAAGACTTACAAATGGAAAATAAGCACATAAAAATATGTTCACAATAATGAGTAGTTCAGGAAATAGAAATAATTACAATGAAATACAATGTCACACCTATTAAGATGCTTAAAATGACAAAAACAAGAATTAGAAAGGATATAGGGAAACAAGAAGCCTCATATACCTATACATTGCTGATTGGATTGTAAAACGGACGAATCCATGTAGGACAATAGTTGGGCAATTCCTTGGAAAAAAATATTGTCATTAAAGTATAATGACATGCAATATCCTATTACTTCCAGATGTACATCAAAATAATTTGATATTTTTATACAGTATGAAATGATCACCACAATAACTCCATTTACCATCTATCGCCATACAAAGTTATGATATTACTGACTGTATTCCCTATGTTGTACACTACATCTCCATGACTTATTTTATAACATGAAGTCTGCACCTCTTAATTTTCTTTATTTTGCCACCTCCCCACTACCTCCCCACCCTGGTCACTAAGTTTGTATCTTGTATATATGAGTCTGTTTCTGTTTTGTTTACTATTGTTTCTTAGATTCCACATATAAGCTAAAGCATATGGCATTATATTTGTTTGTCTTAGGACAATACTCTCTATGTTGGTTCATCTATGTTATTGCAAATGAATTTTTTATGGCTGAGCAATATTTGGTTGCATATATGTACACCATATCTTCTTTATCCATTCATTTATCAATGTACACTTAGGTTGTTTTCATATTTTGGCTATTATAAATAGTGCTATAATTAACATAGTGGTGAATATATCTCTTCAAATTGATGTTTTTGTTTTCTTTGGATAGAAATAACAATATGGAACTCCTAAATCATATTGTAGTTCTATTTTTAATTTTTTGAAGAATCTTCTTATTTTTCTCCACAGTGCCTGCACTAATTAATATTCCTACTAATAGTGGATGAGAATTCCCTTTTTATAACATCTCACCAACATATTCTTTTTTTTTTCTTTTTGATAATAGCGTCTGATGGGTATGAACTAATACCATGTTGTAGCTTTGATTTGGATTTCCTTGATGATTACTGATATTGAGCATGTTTTCATGAATGCATTGGCCATCATCATGTATTTGGAAAAATGTATAGTCAAGGCCTCTGTCCATATTTTATTCTTGTTGTTTCTGTTATTAAGTTGTGTAACTTCTTTATGTATTTTGAATATTAACCTCTTATTTGATGTATGCTTTACAGATATCTTCTCCCATTCACTATGTTGCCTTTTTGTTGTTGATGGTTTTATTGGGCGTGGAGTTGCTTTTTAGTTAATCCCACTTGTTTATATTAGCTTTTGTTGCCCTTGGCTAAGGAAAGGGCCCAAAAAAATATTGCTAAGGCTGATGTCCAAGAGCTTACTGCCTAGATTCAGTGAAAATAAAATCCTTGGAGAAGCTTTAAAAAAGCTTACTGCCCATGTTTTCTTAAATAAATTTTATGGTTTCAGGTATAGTTTCAAGTCTTTAATCCCATTTGAATTAATTTTTGTATATGGTGTAAGATAGTGGTCCAGTTTCATTCTTCTGCATGTTGTTGTCTAGTTTGTTTTGGGGCTGTCTATTCCATTGATCCGTGTGTTTATTTTTCATATCAGTATCATGCTGTTTTGATTACTATAGCTTTGTAATACAGGTTGAAATCAGAGGGCATGATGCCTCCAGCTTTGCTCTTTCTCAAGATTGCTTTGGCTATTCCGGCTCATTTGTTGTTCCATACAAACTTGATAATAGTTTGCTCTAGGTCTGTTAAAAATATCATGGCATTTTGCAAATAATTGCATTGAACATGTAGGTTGCTTTAGGTAACATGTACATTTAAAACGTGTTCTTCCAGTCCATGAGCATGGTATATTTTTTCATTTGTGTTGTCTTTCATCAAAGTCTTAGATATTTCAGAGTCCTGCAGCCCATAGATTTTGGAAATTTGTGTTTTCATTTTTATTTGTCTCAAGGTAGTTTGTGATTTACTCTGATGTATTCATTCACCTGATTTAGTAGCATGTTGTTTAGTTTCCATACCTTTTTCCCAGTTATTTTCTTAAGAGATATCTTCTTTCAGACCATCATGATTGTAAAGGATGCTTAATGAGATTCAGTCTTCTTTAATTTATTGAGATTTGTTTTGTAGCCTAAGGTGTGATCTATCCTGGAGAGTGTTCCATGTGTACTTGAAAGAAATGTGTATTGTACAGTTTTTTGGATGAAATGTTCTGTGTATATCTATTTAGTCCATCTGGCCTAATGTGTTAAGGCCAATGTTGTCTTACTCATTTTCTGTCTGGATAATCTATCCACTGATGATAAGTAGGGTATTAAAAATCCATTACGGGGGCACCTGGGTGGCTCAGTCAGTTATCCACCCTGTGCTCTAGGGTGGATAAGTCTGCATGTAGGCCCTTCAGTGATAACCCTCCCTGCTGTAGGTCATTACATTGGGGGTGGGGTTCCTTGAAATGCTTGCATTCCTGCCTTCCACAACAAAACTGCACTGTCCCTGAAAGGTAGAATATAAACTCTCTGAGGCACCACAGACTTTCAATGCATGCAATTCCAATTAGACCTTGTTTTGCTGTATGATTTGTTTTTATTCAAGTATAGTTAACATGCAGGGTTAAAATAATTTCAGATATACAATATAATGGTTCAACAACTCTATACATTTCTCAGTGCGTACCAAGATAAGTATTGCTTATCAAGGTAAATGTCCTCTAGGGGCACAGGGTAGATTGGCTGGTTAAGTATCATTGAACTCTTTTTTTAATGTTGATTTATTTATTCATGTTGAGAGTGAGAGAGAGAGAGAGAGAGAGTGAGTAGGGGAGTGGCAGAGAGAGAGGGAGAGTTCTAAGCAGACAGAGCCTGACGTGGGGCTTGATCCCACCAACTGAGATCATGACCTGAGCCGGAATCAAAGGTCAGATGCCTAACTGACTGAGCCACCCAGGTGCCCCTAAGTGTTCAATTCTTAGTTTTGGTTCAGGTCATGAACAAAGGGTCTTGACATCCAGCCAGCCCTGCCTCAGAATACGCACTGGGTGCTTAAGATTCTCTCTCTTTACCCCTCTGCCCCTCTCTCATTCACAGTCAAATAAATAAATAAATAAATAAATAAATAATAAATACACAAATAATATCTAGAAAAATATTTCTATGGCTGATGTCAAAGAAATGACTGCCTGTGTTTTCTTCTAGGAATTTCAGCTTCAGGTCTCCTATTTAATCCATTTTGAATTTATTTTTGTGTGTGGGGTAAGACAGTGGCCCATGGTCATCATTTTACATGTTGCTGTCGGTTTTTCAGATACTATGTGTTGAAGATACTGTCTTTTTCCTATTATATATCTTTCCTCATTGATTGACCATGAAAGCATGGGTTTATCTCTGGACTCTCTTTTCTTTTCTA